AGACACCTGTCTTTCAAACCAAGACAAAAACCAAGAGCCATTCTACACTTACTAGCTCTATATTTAGCCTACATTTAAATTTGCTCTACTTCATGTGATGTTTTCCTGTATTTTATTTAACAGCCATAGTAAGATGCTCCAGAAAGAAACAGAAATTAGTACAGTGTCAAATCTACAGTGAGTTTCAATGAAGACCAAGGCACTAAAAGAAGATCTGATATTGGGCAGCCTGAAAAAGCAGAGGAAAGATTATTACAAGAAAAATATTAACTTTCCTTTACACTATATGAGGTGCCAGAAACAAAAACAGATCAGAACAGAACACCAGAAATTGAGTCACTATTTAAATTTTAGTTCCTGTGCTATTTCTTATTCCTGGTTTTGTTTTAGCAGGGTTTTTTTCCCCTTTATGTAAGATTTTTTTTAAATGGTACTTTAAAATGAACTTTAACATAATAAAAAATTCTCAGGGAGTGTTTGGGGCTTTCAATGTGCAATGACAATAGTGACAGTTACCTGTAATAAATTAGCTTTTTCAGCATTCCTTTCTTTGTTTGGTAAAATCAGCTTTGCTATTGTATATATTCCATTTGCCTGGAAACAGAAAAAGGTCAATATTAATAGCACTTTGATGCATAGAAACCACAAATAAAACCCAAAGTTTTACTTCAGATAAATCAGAAGCTAGTACCTACTGACGAGTTTTCAACATTCTACTGCACACTTAAATTACAAGCTCAATTACTTAAACATACGTAAGAATTAAATCATCATTACATCTAAACTGATACCACAAAGAGAGCTTGTGAACAGATAATGAACCAACGCCTCTATCTCTAGAGGTGATGGAAATTGCAACAACAGATCTCCCATCACCATGTGGATATTTTGAATTGTCAGGATCCAAAAATCCAGTCACAATAAATATAAACTGGAGAAACACCAAAAATGATAGCCTGAGGAGTATGTCCGTACGATTTTGTGAAAACCACACTGTACTTCAGCTTCCATTTTCATGTAACCATGTGTCCTCATTAATGTATACTTCATTTGATTTGATAGGTAGGCACTGGTAGATTTAGTTACAGTACTGCTCCCAGTTACTTCCACAAGTTCTCTGTTGGAAACTCCTCTCCTCTCTAGCAGAGTTGAAGAAATATGTGTCACCTCTGCAGAGGCTCTACTGCAGTTCCTGTTTTCTTAAACTGTTCATGAAGGTAGAGTTGAGTTAAGGTTTTAGGCTGTCAGTAGAGCCATTGAGTCATAAACACATTCTGGCCTGCTACCAGAATTGCTGCAAACTGCTACTGAGGCTGTAAGTTGAGACAGGGACATGGGACGGCCAAGTAGAGGGCAGCTACAGCAGAAGCAAATGGTTGTCAACTGCCTAAACCGAGAGTCCTTTGCCACTGAATGAGATAAACCTTAGAGGTCACTTTGACTTTCTCAGCACATAACTGAGAGACCTGCAAACCTTCTTCCTCTCTCCATTTTTAACCTAAGTGAGTTCCTTCATCTTGTTCACCATGCAACTCTCGGAGTTGTATTAGCACAGAGAGAGAAGTAGGATATAAAATGAAAGAGGTTGTTAGAGGGTGGAACTCCAGTTGAAACAAACATGCCTGAAGCTATGTCCTGATCAGAAGGGGGACATTGGCTGGTTTCTTGACAAAGGAAGAGGTCCTCATCTTTTGACAGGATGAGTGAGTGAAGAAGTTAAGCTTCAAATACCTTTTCCCAGCCTGCACATCACCCCCTCAATTTTTAAGCAATTTACTGACCCTGCAGTTATCATGCACTGCTAAAGCAATGCAGAAAAACTCAGTGTTAAAATCAGCCTTTTACTTCCCAAGTCCTCCAGGAGTTAGACTGTTTTCAAAATATATGCAACATTTAACATTTCAGTCTATATTTCTGACAGGAAATAATTTTCTCCCTTGAATTATGATTACTGGGTTACATGAGTGCGGTCTAACCACCGCTCAACTGCTGTTTGTCTGCCGTCTTTCTGGTCTTATGAGAAGGCCAAACTGCCCCAATGTGAAACATAAAATTAGATGAATGCTGCAGGAAGGGAATAACAACATCATTTTCTGTGATCTCTTGTAATTTTATTTTACCACTGTTATCTGAAACAATAATCTGGTATTAATGTCCTAAACATTTGTGTCTTTGACTATGTCTGGAATACGTAACAGGGATTTTAAAAATGGATTTCAGAACCATAGAATCTAGATCATTTAAATATTACATTTTAAAATGCAGTTTAGAAACACAGCCCTGGTGATGGAGTGCCAGGAAGTTATCTCAGAAATACCAAACAGGAAAAGAGAAGTTCTTTGTGAAACAACAACGCACCAATACTAAGCTGCACAGAGATTGTTTTAATAAACTTCATAAAATTCAGGATTCATATTTCCCACTTAATTCTATGCCTACTGTTATTTACTATCCTATTTTGAATATGGCAAAAGCATGGCAAAAGATGCCAATGAAAAGGAACCTGTCTGAATAAAGCTGTTTATTCTCCCAGACAACTAGATACATACGTTGATATCTTTGTGTCTATGCCTCTGTGTGTAAATGTATAAAGAAACAGAGATACTAAAGTAACAGAAAAACATAGTTCCCAATCCCTTTCAAATGCATTTTGTTTGTTAATTAAATGATGGTGACAAATAAGAACAGTTAAGTCAAACTATAATGCCTTCCTTAACTGAATAAAGTCTTCTTACCTGTACAACCTGGTAAGCGTTAGTCTCATTGAGCACCAGTTCAGTAATTGCAGCACAACAAGCTAGAATAAAAATTCAGATGTAACATTTAGGGCCAGATCCATGAAGATATTCAGATAGTGTGGAGGGTTAACCTTAGCTAAGGGCCAAATGCCCACCCAGCTGCTCATTCACACCCCCTCCTCAGGACAGAAAAGTTCATGGGTCAGGATAAAGACAGGGAGATTGCTTACAAGTTACCACCACATGCAAAACAGACTTGATGAAAATTAGTTTAATTTATTGCCAATTAAAATAGATTTTGATAGCAAAACAACAAAGACAAAATTAAAGTAACACCTTGTCCCCCACTCATCTTCACTCCTTCACTCCCGACTCCTCTACATGGATCTGATGGAGGGGGGTTACAGTCAGTACATAGCAGTTCCACTCTGCTGCTCCTTTCTCCTCACACTTTTCCCCTGCTCCAGTGTGGGTCCTCTCTGCATGTTGCAGTGTGAATACCTGGTCCACTGAGGTCTCCCCCATGGGCTGCAGAGGAATCTCTCCTCTGCTGCCTAAAGCACCTCCTCCTCCTCCAACCTTGGTGTTTGCGCTGCTGTCACACCCCCCTCCTTTTTTTTTTGCCCTCCTCCTTGCCTACCCAGCATTTTTGCCCTTTCTTAACTATATTTTCATAGATGCACCACCAGCTTTGCTTTGGCCAGCAGTAAGTCTGTTGTGGAGCCAGCTGGAACCAGCTGTGTCCAGCACAGAGCAAACCCTTACCTCTTCCCACAGAAGCCACCCCTGCAGGCTGCCTGCTAACAAAACCTTGCCACCTACACCCAATACAGAAGGCTAAAAATATAAACAAGTACTCAGTCAGAACTAAAAAAGACCTCTGTAAGTTCAGTGCTTACTTTTTTCTTAGGAGTCCTTAAGGAAGGCAGAAGTAACAAAGAAACATGCTCCATGCTGGCAATATTTTTGGTACTGCAATTTATTTCACATTACCAGCTCTTCAGAGGTAATATTCATGAAAAAGTATTCAGAAACACCTGCGTGTTATGTTACAGTTTTCAGGAAGATACTGCAAAGGCCCATGTAATCCTAGAAAGGATATTTTGCAGTGTCCTTTTATAGTCACTGGAAAAAGACATGATCCTCAGGAAGGCATTTCAGCATGGATAATTGATGTGCTATTGAGAAAACTCCTCTAAAAGGGATTCTTTCCATAACTACTGAGGAACCTTCACATGACTAGTAGTCTTTAAAATACCACTTTGAAAGAGTTCCATCATAATCAAGTCATGATTGATTTACAATAGTAAATTTGAATAGAGCGAAAAATATGATCAAATAACCTCAGGCTGCAAACTTAAAGAGATATATATATATGTGTATATATATATATATAAGTTTGAGATGTTTTCACATGTGGAAGAAACATATATGATTCCCATGTACTTAATACTTTATCTTTGCTTCTTTCTAAAAAAAGTGTGATTTGGAAAATATGTGCTGGTATTGCACATATAGAAATAAACACAGCTGGCTTGGTGCTCCTACTCCCTACAGCAGATATAAAAGTTTACAATTTCAATTTTGAAATACTTTTAATCTCTTTGCGCAAGTGTAAGTAAACACATAAAAGAGGATTAGGCCTTATAAACCTACCTGCTTGAAGTGAGAAAGTATTTTCTTGCATCTCATCAGGACTCAAATCATCTGACAAATGAAGATGTTGGATTCTCCCTGCTGCATTCGCACTAGATAAACTTCCAACTGAAGAGCGATCAGAAACAAAATTTCTTTCCCTGAAAAAATTAAAAAAAAAAATCAAAATGCAGTATAAAAAAAAAAGGCTTAACATCTTTGTTGACCATTTCTGAAGTTCTGAAAATTCATCCGTTTTTCACTAAATTAGCTAATACACTTTGAAAAAGCAAACAAGCCTTTAAACAAAATTCCTTTACCATGTCCATCAATTATATTCACAACTGAATAGGTGTCTGATTAATAGGGAAACTAAGTAGGCAGTAATGACTTATTTATAATCTATTATTCATTTAGTTTATACACTGAAAATATGAGAAACACCTTAAGATAACAAGGTAAAAATAAGAAATATGCATAGCTGAAAAGAAATGCTGCTTATTCAGTGTTCTAAATAGCCTTTTAACTTCTGCAAACCACATACAGCTGAACAAAACAAAGATGCTATTTGATAAAATGGGGCTTAGTTAAATTATCTTAAAATATGAGAGTCTCCTATAACTGCCACATTGAGGACTGAAAACCTACCCCTGTAATATATGAAGAAGCTGGTTGATTCCACCCCAAATCCGGATTTCCACACTAGTCTCAGGATCTTCACAAATCTGTACCAGAATCCAAACTATACTCCATAAAAGTTTGGTATGATCAGAATGGAGTAAACTGAGCAAGACTGGAACACCTTCATACATTTTTACTTGCTCTTTGACTTGTGACTCTGCACAGAGGAGACGTAGCAACTCTGCTGTGAGTCTAAAAAATAAAAATCAGCAAGAACTTTTAACAACTCCATCATTACTTTATATTGTCAGTTAGTAAAGGGAAAAAACCCACACCAAATGTTTAAGAAAGAACAGAGATCTTGTATTAAAAAAGAAATTAAAGAACACTGCTTAAAGTCACTGCAAACTGGTTAAAGTCACTGTTCAAAAAAAAAGAAAAACAAGAAGAAGGTCCAAATTTTCACAAGGGATGAAATTATATTTACATCGAGTTTGACTGTCAGCATAGGCAGCCAAGCTTACACAGCCAGGATGGAGGTGGCCAGGTGGACTGCAGTCATCCATGGTACCACCTTCTTGTTAAAGGCATTAGTTCTACAAGTAGCACTGACCGCAAGAATTTGTAAAGTCCATCTATGGAATTAGAATAACTCCACAAATAATGGTGATTCTTCTCCAGTATGGTTGGAATATTATGTTTAGAAAAGGGATTGTATATATAATTTTAAAGGTTTAATCAAGATTTTCATTAACTTCACTCCATTTAAGGTGCACTTTCCATAGAAAATATGATTACGGATTTCCATTTCCACTTGAAGCAAAAAAGCTACATGTGTGTTTGACGAAACATACGAATTCAGATTCATATCTGAATTTAAACTTATTCTTAACCAGCATTGAACATCATCAGCTTCCTGTCTACATTCAAATTCCAGTTTTTATAACAAACTTTTGGTTTATGTATAATCTAAATAATTTCAAACCCAGAAACTAAACACAATCTTTTGGTATATTCAATTCCTTAAGTCATAAAAGTAATTTACATGTGTGAAATAATTAAGTGTGAAATTTAAAAAATCTCTTCAGAATTTTAAATGTGATAGGATAAGTGACATATCAAATTTGATTCTTTTGTTTCTTACTGAAATGCAGATATACTATTCTCGGCTAGCAGTCTTAGGTGAGATGAAAGGACATTTAAGGAACTGAAGAAGCCTTTATGATTTTCTGATTGAAGGGATGTGGGGTCTGACCCAACCTCTGTCATAAACTACAACAGCTCTATGTCTTGCAATTTTTCACTAGTTTATAGTGGGCATCCCAGGAACTGTCAGAGTTCAGTGTGCTTTCCATGTAACCACTCCCGTCTTCCAGGAGCAAAGAGAAGGTGCACCAAGAAAGCAACTGCTATCATTTTATGGTAACATTGCAATTTATTTGCACTGCACTGTAGGCCATCAGTGGAGAGTGAGGAGACAGCTTGTAGTAAAACTACTAGAAAAGATTTTGTTGTATCAACATCTGACTGAAAACACATAGGTGTCAGAACTTTACCTTGAGTATTATATCAAATAATTATATTTGGCACATTTTCTAATTCCTCTAAGCAAACATGTCCTTAAATGAAACAGTCAAGATATATTTTAACACAATTCATCTACAAGCAAAGTCTCACCTTTTAGAAAGCAAATCGTATTCATGTAATATCACCAGCAAGTTCTCAACAATGGTGAGCTCACTTATCTTCTCCCTACATTCTGGACTACAAATTGATTATTCCTGGCATTTATATCAAGTTAATTATATGAAAAAAATCCCACATTGCTCTTTAGCCTCCCTCTTTATACATTTGACCAAGGTTTCTTTTTTTTTTCCACAAGTCTTACGTAATACTATCATATTATGCACAGAAACGTTTAAAGCCACAAAAACATGCTGGTGTCAAAAGCGACAGTGCAACAATTTTCAGTTTTCCCAGTACAAAAAAGTAAATGTGAATGCATAAAAGTAAAAACACAAATGTATTTCATTTGTTTCATATCAGAAATTAATCAAATGAGGTACATTTTTAGAATCAATTACAATTTCCATGAATATTTGTAATATACTCCAAATACATTTGCACTGGACAAGAAAGTAACACATTTAATTCTGTGAAGAGTTAAATGGAAGTTGAAAATGTATGTATAATATTGTTTAAATTAATACTGATATTAAAAAAAATTAAACTGAAACAGAATGAAAGAAATTTGGGAAAAGAGAAAATCCAGATAAATCTTAGTAAATAAATTTCTACTGATCTCAAGGAATTGTATCTATTCTCTTCAGTTTTGTAATTTTCCTTATAAATTTTCATTCAAAAGATAAAATTGTTATACAAGTCTGGAAGTCAGCAGAACATAATGTAGAAGCAGCAGCTTTGCTTCTAAAAAACTACTAAGGATGAAAGATGCTGCATTTTTCCTTCTTTTTTTTCCCTTCCCCACAAGGAAAAAAAAAAAGTCTTATCCTTATTTAAAACAGTCATTAGTAGAGAGAGGATACAAAAACATGGATTTGAGCGTATGCATTCATTATTTACTACATTGAACAATATTTGTGTTGGTTATTGTGAGGCACTTTTATGTTAAGCTCAGCACAAAAGCCTTTCTATGCAGAAAGTCAGTCAGAATTCCAGAATCCTGCATAGGGACTGCAAAGAGAGATTCAGTGACTCCAGTCTTGCAAAATTCCCCACATGAGCAAGAAGTCTGCTGCAATGACCAAAGCTTCTACTTAGTTTCTACTGCTTCAATATGAAATTAAGCACACTTCATAGACCTCCACAGAACAAGGCCTCATTTTGGGGAAAAAAAAAAAAAAAGTCATCCTCATAAACGGCAACTTTGACATTGTGTCAAGAGATAACTTTAAAATGCTTACTGTGAACTACAGCACATTAAGTTGAACCTACCTTTCTGCTAGGCTTGTCAAAGCAAGGAGGGCACCCAAAAGCACATTGCTGTCTCTGGCAGATAACAAATTTACTAAGGTCTGGAAAATGAAACATGAAACAAGATAAATAAGTATAAATTATATTATTTTATTTTATGACTCAAACACATACAGAGTTATTAATTGAAAGGTCAAAATGAAGATACTAAATCCTGACACAAAACACTGAAAGTCTTAGGCACATTTAAAGTACACTTTAAGTCTTAGGACAAGCAAGGATGTTTATTCTCAAACTACAGTTAGCATCTCTTTTGGCTGCTAAAGCATCTGTCCAACTTAATACACTGTTGTAAAAATCTGTTACTGTGTAAAAAACTTCAGAACTCTAAATCAAAGCCTCCTGAAGCAAAATGTTAATTTTCAGCTTAACAATGCAGTATGTAATTTAAGGGCATGCATATATTCTGTTATTGATTTATAACAAAGTAAACTTTGTCTACTTTCTCTAAAAATATCTTGTCCAATACTAGCTGATCACAATTGTCAATGTTTTATTTTAGTATAATAGAATCATGAAGCATTAGTTACACTGATCTTGATCTCTACTGTTTCTCAGTTTGGCCACAAATCAGCAATGGTTAAGTATAGATCCTCAGACTGATGGTAATGCATAGCAAGTGATGTTTAGGTTTGTCACTATCTAAGTTGACACTGTACCATTTAGAGACAGAATACTTTATAAGTGAAAAATCACAGCAGAAATGTATATTAAAAATAAATTAAAATTTTTTTGTATTTTAAAAGTTATATAAAACCATTTATATCATAGTAACACGTAGCTCAGGATAGTGTAAACATGAGTACTAACTTTTACACGAATGAGTTTAGTCCAAACATTTAACACCTATTTATCACAACCAACCAATAACTATGCAACAGGCCAACTTACATACCAGAAATAATAATACCAATGCATATGTAAAACACAGAACTGAGATTATCTTACTTTGTAAGTTTGACAAGGTAAGGAATTTACTCCCACCTAGATCAAATCTGAAAAGCATAAGTCATTCAGTTAAGTAGCTAATTGGTTATAATTAGCAATTTTATAAAGTACTTACTTTATGTGCTCCACTTGCTGTAACCCATTCTCTTTGATCTTTAACAGCAGCAAGCTTTTGGAAAATGTCTACGGAACAAAGGAAGTCACATAAATTGAAGCTTTACCACTTCATATTTTTCATTTTACTAATCAGATGATAAAGCAAAACACCACATAAGTACTTTGAAACATGACTAGCTCATTTTACCACTACTTCAGTGCACAAAAAGGTATTAATTTCTTAAGGAAATATCACTTATGTCCAAAAACAAGATGTGCTTTTCCACAGCAATTTTCAGTTTTTACTTGTGTGATGATGCCTGCAATGAATCTAGCAATATCTTATTAATGACCACCTCAAGTATTTCAAACATTTTAAGCCTCGCACAGAAAGTTGTGTGCCCTTGCAATTTATGTTATCAGCTATAACACTTACATGTCATGTTGACCAACTTGTCTACATTATGCTGCTCTTCTCCGTAACCAAGATAGCCATTTGCTACTGTTTCCATACGCTACAAGTAGGAGCAAAAATAAAGGATACCATTAAGAATTCATAAACCTAGAGTGTTATGCACAGAAATAGCCTGTAGGTGGAGCATCTGCTTCACGAAAGAGGTAGGTCTGCACCATCCCGAGAAGACATTCACTGAAGATTATGAAATACAACGACCCTACTTCTTGGGCCAAAATTGCCACCTTTGCAAGTTGCTAGAGGTTGATAAGAGTTTTCTGGGGAATGATCACTTCATGTTTCTGCTCTCAAACTTTTCCCTCAGCATTGGCCACTATTTGGAACAGCCAGATGGATACTCAGTCCACACAGCTGACCGGCTCAGACTGCAAAACCTACACAACTGCAGGGGAGGATTTTGTTTCTTTGTTGGGTTTTTTTTTGGACATAGCCAGCTGGTGGGAAATCCTGGGCAATCTTTTTTAATAAATCTAATGACTTCCTGATCAAACATATTTTTACACAAAATTACAATTATCACAAGAAATGTAATGTTTGTTACACACAAAATGATTATACGATTCTTGGCATCACATATATATTGGTCTTGCATATGGTGGCATTTTGAAATTTCCAGAACACTGTATAGGAAAACTACAGAAGTTTCAAGCAGATGGTACAGAGAGGCTAGAACTACAGTAGTACCACACAATGTAGAAAGAAAACACACATGACAACGACACTACTACGCAAAGTAATACTGGTAATAATTTTATTAGTGTTTTCTACTAAAATACCCCAAAACACTTTAAAATTAGAACAGTTTTTTACCTGAAACTGCCTAAAAAAATGTTTTTAATGCTGTATGAAATAGTCTAATGGACAAATTTAGACTTGTGATTTGGCAAGAAGATTTGGATGCACAATTCACCTTGAAATTACTGCCTCCAAATTTCTGAGGGATTTTTGAAAGTCTCAGCTATAACTTTCTTCAAATTACATTTCAGAGCACTGGAAACCCATTTAACAATTTTCTCTTGCTGCAAAGGATACAAAAGATTAACTTCCCCAGAAGTTTAGAAATTATAAAAACTCCATCTCGTGACTTTTTTTCTCTATGTGAGCAACACATGCATAGTGAAAATGATTATCGATTATAGGATTTGGATTCCTGTCCCTAAGGCCTCCACTTGCAGGCCACTGCACAAGCTTCTCAAAAAGTATGGCTAAGCAATAATGACATGTGACATTAGAAAACACCAAGCAGTTCCTGTGGGAAGCATATGCATTAGAAACTAATAATCTTTAACTCCTTCAACTTTAGGGACATTTCAAACAGGTGATTGTCTGACCAGAAAACCTATTGGTTCTTTGAAATACAAGTGACTCCATAAATATTAATGAACGATGACTGCATTCTAGAAAGATCCATTTGTTATAAAAATTCTGATCTTTTTTCTAGAAAGAAAACTCTCAACAATTTCAAAAATATTCAAGATACGACACATCTCACTGCTAAATTCGCACTGATGAACAAGTATCAAAAACCCAGGAATAAAGCAGTATTAACACAAAGCAGTAACAATACAGCAGTCAGTTATCAATAATGTTTTGTAATGCAAAAGTACTGTAGCCCCCAAATTTAAACCTGTTCAACATCCTATCACTATGCTTTTACATTTAAAAAGTCATTTGCTACAGTTCAAGGTGACTTTACTCATATTCCTTCAAAAGCCTGCAGTCTCTTTTGACTGAACCAATTGAACTGACTTTTCTAATCCTTCTCCCACTTCAGGAGGCATTTGTTAAGCCTCCTAATTAGAAGTCATAGGTTAGTGCTGCTAGATTGTAAGGACAACTGCTTCGTACACTAGTGAAAAAAAAAAAACACAACAACTGTTTATGTGCAAACAGAGGAGTAGACTCACTTCTTTCCATAAACCAAGAATATATGCATACTGCTTTTTACAGTGCATTTCATTCTTATCATAATAAACTGACACGCAACGTAATGGTCAAAGGTACTGTGAGAAATTCTACCTGAGCTAGATTTTCAATCCCGCCCAGGCTGTGGAGCATTTCCTAAAAGAAAATTTTAAAAATTTTCAAAACTGAGTAAAAATACAGAAAACACTAGAATGACAGAACTCTAGAATATAAATGCTCTGTTTGTTATGAGTGTTGAGAAACCTTAACTCCAGTGGCCAAAGTCAATGGATTCTTAGCACCTTCAGAGTTCAGAATTACTTAGACTAAGTAGGTAAATAAAAATGCAGAAATGAAATTTTACATGTTCTAAAACTGGAAAAACATTATAAGCTTTGCAACACATAGAAAAGAAACAGATGAAAACAAATTTCTTAACAGATGTCTGAGGCTTAGTCCTATGAATAACAACTATAATAGCCAGAATAAAATTAAAAGCTAGTTGTTTGTAGTTCAGAGCATTGGGCTGCTAGGAGGAATAGGCAGCTTTCAGTTTTCTTCAGTTATTCCATTATTGGAATCTTACATGTCTATATGGTAAAGTTAAGTACAGAGTCTAGGGCTCAGAGCAATGACCAAGCCATCTGTTACGGAGATTTACAGGTTCTTCATTAGGGTTAGCAACAACAGATGTTACATAAGAAATACCAGAAATATAGCAAGTTCTGCCGTAACAGTGTAAATTCACTCTTGGAATCTGTTTGTTTGCAAATCACATCTTCACATACAGAAATATAGGGACATACGTAAGTATGTATTCATAAGAACGCACATTTTTACACACATGCACCAGCACATTCATATGCATGATGCTCATATGCATTCTCTTATCCAAGCAAGAAACAATACTTTGATATACTGACCTGATAGCATGGATCCCTTATTAATAATCTCAGGCAGATTAATACTCTAAGAAAATGTGTAGATGAAGCTTGATTAACCCACTCCCTGTAAAAGAAATATTCAAAACACAAACCAAATACAATTAAAAAAAAAAAAAAATTGTTAAAACCCTTAAATAAACCACTTTGATTCAGGAATCAATCGACTAGAAGATTAGTGACCTACAACAGCTGTACAATATACTAGACTATAGAACTTTTAATATCATTTACATTCAAACACAGTACCAGCTTTAAATAAATTTATTTCATTATATGAACATGGCCAGCCATCAATATTATCACTGAGCTGATGCAGGAAAGCACATGCTTATATCTAAGCACAAAATGATCATGCTTTGATATAAACTTATTTTAAGTGTTTGGATCAAGGCCCAAAAGGGCAAAATCACTGAGAAATCACATATCACACTTCAATACACAAAATATATTTATGTAGAAATATGGATGCTACAGAAGTAAAAATAGATAATTTGAAATAATTTTTTGAATTATCATAATCTATCCTGGGTTTTAAAAACTCCAATACTATTAGTCCTTGGAATAACATGTTATTTAGTTTAAATGTTCTCAATATAGGATTATAGTTCCAAATAGAACTTTCTCTTTCACATTTCTCCATACAACTCCTCAGCACAAGACTTGGCAGAAAACACAACTCAGATTTGCACAAAGCTTCCAGGGGCAGTAATCCTGCATAAAATACCAGTAATGGAATCACAATTTCCATTGTCTGTTGAAGGTACATATCCCCATTTTCCTATTTAAAATAAAGCTAAAATTAGTATCTTTGTGGTGGGTTTTTTTGTTGTTTTAACAGAGAGAACAGAATCTGTAGTTTCTGGGCAAGTTTCCAAGGAATGGAAGAAGTCTGTGGGATGTGGCAGTTCTCTTTCCTTTTTATCATTTGCAGTTGGGAACATCACCAATAGCTAAAAATATTTTGATGAAAATAAACATTTTACAAATAGAGACTAATAAAATATCAGCCCTTCTATGCCAATATTCTGCCCAAAGTAATACAATTTTTCATTATGATTCCACAATTGGCCACTTCAGAACAGCACAAAAGTTTTATGGAAAGAAAACAGCAACCATATATGTGTCGGTAAAATTTGTAGGTCAGATTTTAATGTGGCCTGAAAATCATTACCATGGTGGTTCTACAAAGTTATTCTTTCAAAAAGCTTTGACTCTTGCCAGAACTTAGTTTCTTTAATGGAGCAACACATCTGTCACGTTTTCAAGCAGGGACAGTAATTCTCTGAGCCTGGTTAACATTTGAGAGCCTCTTACTCTACAGTTACATTTACAATACACATTATTAGACATCCCAGTGTATATCCAGCATAGGACAGCAGGAGTTTTTTTGCCTGCTTAGTTATACTCCTTACCTAAACTACTTAAGTTAAGCTGATAACAGCTTTCTTGTCAACAGAGCTATCTCCAACCAGGACTTCTGCTGACACAGTGATGCCACTAAGTGGGTGTGATTTTTTTCTTGCACCCCAACCAACGTAGCTATGCCAGCAAAAGTATGTAATGCAAATCAAGGTGACAGTTTCTAAGGCTCTGACAAAATGCAATGGCAGCAGTTCCAAAAAGAGGACATTATCACAGTCACAGTAAAATATTTACAAAGGCAACTAAATCACCTTTGTAACTGCACTTACCTTATGGGTTTCACATACCTACTAATATACGCTTGTTTCTTTCACCTTACCTGGGTGCTCCATTTTTAAGAAAGGGGCTGGTTTTGCTATATCATCATCAACAAGTATCAAAGAAAACAAAAACCAAAATATGAGCTAGATATGTCAAAATGTATAAATAGAACACGGGAAGACAGAATGTAAGTAATTCTTCGATTTTTGGCAAATGAAGCTGAGCAACTGACACCCCACTGGCGGGTACCGTGATGATAAAGTTCACTTGCAAAAAAGATGTACCAGATTTACAAATCACTTAAATGATCTTAAACTCACTGCTATTTAGATAATCAAAGATGAGGTCCCTAGTCCCTGAGTTAGTTCTGAAAAAAAGTCTAAGCAAACTCTGATTTTTTTTTTGGTGATTTTTAAGTTCTTCTGTAAATTCTAGCAGTTACACATTAATACCTTTAAATGCTCTAAGATTCCTTCTTTAAGCTTCTGTACCACTTAAGATTTTTTTAGAAAAGGTACTTGGGCTTTATAAAAGAAAAATACAACATACTGCAGTGCTGTAAAGTAAAAGAAATGTGAAAAACACATTCTTTTTTTTTCAGAAAATATTTTTTGCTGCTCCCACTATTTTTTTTAAGGTCTTGCACTTCTTCCTCTCACAAATCAGTGCAGCATAACAATGGGTTTTCCCTTTATAAACTCTGTTATACACATGAATACAAATAAATATGAACAGTAGCATAAACTCAACTGAATTTTATAAAAGCCATTGACCTTTCCATATAAAGGCAGCAGTCCGTAAAATACAAATAAAATCAGTAAAATAAAAATGAAATCAGAAAAGCAAGACATAGATTACAGATACCAGATATGGACAAATAATCAAGTAAACATAGCAGCTGTTAGAATATTGGTCATCCAAGTCTCATCACGCACCCAGCCCTTCCTTCTTCTGTCACACTAACCCAGGCATTACGTCTTCAAAGCCAATACAGAAGTGGTTGTTTAAAACTGAGATTATGCAGAGATGTGAAGCTGGTAGTTTCCATACAGAGGTCTGTTGTTGAAAAAATATGAAATAGTATCCATGCATCCTGGTTCTTCACTTAAGGCAAGACAGAGTGACCCTCCTTCTTGGATATATATTCTATATATATAGAATTCACATATATTCAGTGTTCAATATACCGACCTGCAGGTAAGTCTGTTCTTAACTAAAGCTGTAAAGATCTCTTGAAACAGCTTGTGTTTGGGATGTTCACTAAAATTTCTCTCATTCTTGTAGGTCACACTAATGAGGAAAAAAAATAGAAAAATGTTGAATTGCTAATTTTCTTGCCATAAGATAATTTTAGATTGCCAAAACTTAGCATTATCATGAAAAATCAAGAAACGTCATATCAGCAGTTATTATGGAGTAACACAATTTCAAATTCCCAGGCATGAACAGTATGGAAGAACAGTCTGTCTCAAGCATAATTTGAAACTATTATAAAGGTATAAGCTCTCCAAATAAAGAAACCATTACTTTATTTAAATTTACTATGTTGATTCTCAATGGCACACTCTGCTGAGTGGGAGCATGTGTCTGAAACTTACAAAGGCAGGAACATTCACAGTTAGGTCTAGAGTGTCAAAAATACAGAATTCATATCTCCAATAGAGGATTAACATGAAAGTACAAGTAACAGACAAAAGTACAAATACAAATGCCTTCAACACCTCAACAAGCTTTAGACACACAAAGATATTCACAGATGCGACACAGTGTCATTGTATTAGTTTTGGGGTCTTTTTTACCTAAAGTTTTCAAGCTCAACAGCTTCTGTTGATTCTTGCCATTGACCATGGCATTTTTGTTCATTGCTTTTCACATTTTGCCAAGCTCTTGTCACACTGGTTTGACCACTTTGAAAATGTATAGCTGGAAGCTAAGGAGGAAAGTGACAGTACTCATGAGGCAAACACTGCATTTTAAGTTTTGTAAGAATGTTATCAAGCAAAAGTACCTTTTCTCAAGTTCTGACTTGAGCTTTGGACATATATCTTGCCATTATAAAATACACACACCCCCCACGCAAAACAAAATTGACATGGTAGAAAACTGATGCAAAGAAGGGCTGAAAAACAAGTACACGGAGATATCTCAAATGCGAAGAACAGTGTCTTTTAAAATTTATAATAGTAAAGCTCAATAGAATCTGCAACACATGCTCATTGTGTATGCTCCCCTTACCTGTCCGACCTCTACAACTGCCCAGCCTTCATGTTCTTTTTAGGTTGTACAACTCTGATATTTCAGCTTTCTGCTTACAAGCCTTTATCCAAGAAGACAGTGTGTAACTCCTGTCTCACATGGATGAATCCCTAAATCATTTTGTCATATCTTTTTACAGAATAGAAAGGGAGAAAATTTTCTGCCGTTCCAAGGACTAACACCCACCATCATATGTTGGTTTTCTTTGCTTTAAATGACAAATACAAGCTTCGCTAAGTGAGTTGAGGTGAAGGAGCTTTTACTGTGTCCATTAAGCTTCATACATTGATATTTATGCCCTGAAGATTTTTAGCTGAAGTATTATTCTCCAAAGACAAATTGTTTATGGTTAAAATGCTGATCTTGTTTTACATCCTTTACCACTCTTCATCATGTTGTAACTAATATATCTCTAAGCCTACCTTCTTATGACATTGTGGAAGGGCATGGAAGAAAACAAATCTGTTAGGCTACTGGACTATATGCAACAATAGCTGGATAAAACCTGCACAAGATACAAAACAAAGCTTTTTTTTTTCCTGTCAAAACAAAAATTACGTCAGAGTAGTATGAGAAGTAGGTCGGTTTCATTCTTTCACCCCTTCTAAATGGGATTTATCCCACAGAGAAGCTCTAATGTTGCCAAAAAACCACCATTCTCTACACAAGATCTTGCTAATATGTTTAATCATGATGGAACACAATATCCTAAGCACCTGCCACAAACCATAATTCTACAGCATGTTTAATAATAGTTATTGAAAAATACCTGTTGGTCCCTTGACTGAACATTTAAGAGAGACTGAAGTCTTTTAAGATCAGAATAATCCCTAGGATAAAACACAATAGCATAAATATATGTGTTAATAGTTACATAAAAGTACTTCTGTAAGAGTAAAGGTCAACAAGCAACAATGCTACTGACAGAAAATAAAGTTTTGTAGCGTTGCCTAGTGTCCCCATTTTGCGTACAGGAGCATTTATAGCTTGTCCAGAATGCCTTAAATCAACAAAGGTGTAAATAAACTTTGTGACCAGAGTAACAGTTGTCATGTTTATACTGCATTTCAAATTAAAGCATTCGGCTTTGGCAGCTAGTGCAAATTCCACACGGGTCATGCTGAAGGTCAAAGTAAGACATCAGATACTATACCTCATAGAGATCCCACGAGGTTTTTTGTCTGTTGCTTTTTCTGCGCTCTTAAACTTTTTGTCCTGATCAGGCATTGTGTATCACTGTTATCATCACACGGCTAAAAACTCATTTCCTTAAAAATAAAAGTTAGATAGAATTATATCATTGCAGCAAAAGCAACACATTTATTTCCAGAAGCAACTGATAAAACTTTAAGAAAGGAAAAAAAAAAACCAGCTTCACCGTTTTCTCAACATGAACCCTTGAGCATTATATGAGGATATCCTTTAGAATTCCAGATATTAACATAAAGTAGTTAACCTAACAGACAGAAACCTTGGTTTCCCAACACATGGGTAGATAATACTGGCTGTCTTGCTATTACATGTATTTTTCATCAGGATTTTTCCTCTTCTTGCACCTTATTACCATTATTTCTCACTGTGGATTGGCTATTTATGTTAGAGCAGTGCTTACAGGCTGACATCAACGTTGTATCACAGAAGCTGTATTCCAGACAACAGATAATATAATAGTTTTATTACCTAAATAAACAAGACAGATGAAGGGTAGAAAAAGGATGTATCTGACAAATAAATGAGATGCATACATCATGCGTCTACCAAAGAACCACAGAAATTTTCAGCAGTTTGGAATCTGGGTCTTCTGAATTTCAGCTGAATGCCATATACCAACAGCACCCAGCTTTTCTTGCAGTGGGACAGACAGATTATTTCCACAGATGAGCAGAGCTGTATGGCCTGGCCTTATCAGGGCCGTTACCCCATATAGATCCACTGCAGACAAACGTTCAGTCTGTAGCTCTGACTTCCCACCAAAGCCCACAGCTTGTGGCTTGCATAGTATACAGCATTTGTTCACTGAAAATCTTATAAAGTCCTAGAAGAGAGAGAAAGACATAGAAAGAGGATAGTCAAAAGGAATCTCTTGCTGCCACAAAAGCAATTGTATTGATGCAGATACTGCTCCGAGTTAAAAAAGGATGGTGAGGAGCAGGCTGGGGCTGAAGAATTACCCCAGAGAACTGCATACAGCTGCAGCATATTGGTAGAGCACCTTTGATTTAAAAAAACGAGGATGTAATACCACTATCTGGTCATTTCTACTCATGTACAATTCACTAAACATGTACCGTTCGGATGTTCCCTTTGGTGTCTCTTTAACAGGATTTTCCATATGAAATATGATAGCCTCCTTTTCTCTTTGTGCAGTGTAGAATTCCTCTGCTATTGATTTTTATTCCTCTTCCTCATGAAGGCAAAGAAGAAGAAAACCTGGCAGGAAACAAGTGTCTCATAAACCACCAAAAGCTGCTGCTTCCCAACTGAAAATCAGTTATTTTCCCAATTATACATTCTCACATCAGACACAGAACTACTCAAAATGCAACTGTTGACAGTACGAACTCATGCACTGTATTAACTCACTCTGGTAAGTGGCCTGTAAGTTCAGTTCAACCATTTCTATCCTTTTGAACAAGCCTTTATGCTACCACCAGTGCTCCCACAGAGAATGACTGATCTGCATCCCCAGAAATTCCTCCTCTCTCCTCCACACATCCACTCAACAAGGTTATTAAAAAACATCTCAGAACACTTCTATTGTACCAGTTATCACCAGGGAATGAATATAAACAAGATCTGTTCTACCAGTCAGCAGACAAAATTCCTGAATTCAGATTAAGCCAAATGAAGTCAGTTGAACTGATTTATTTCCTGTGCTTCAAAAGCAGTAAAAGTTAAGAGAAACCATGTACATCACTAAGCATGTTTAAGAATCCTCATGAGTAAGAATTTCCACCTATTGTTTTAGTGATACTTGTATTTTATATCCTCTCCCCAATACTCCCATCCATTTGGCATATTACTGAGGCATGACACGATGCAATCATCACCTCACATTTCCACAGTAAGAAATACCATGAAATTCACAAATTATCAACTTGGTCATGAATACATGTGTACAAAGAACAGATTTCAACCAATTAAAGAATCGCCGAACAAAATCACACAAAAACCCAACTTGTCCATAAGCAAATACAGTCAAATCTTAAAATTTTCAGCATTCCATTTAAAGAAGTAACGCATGGGCTAAACCTCTAAACCAAAACGAGCAGGATTCCCAGTATGGCTAGAATTTCATCTAAAGTGGTTACATCTTTGTGATTTTTTACAAAATCTTACAACTGTAGACCAACATTGCTTTAGGGCGACCAGTGCAATGCTTTTGCTGCTTGTGGTACCTTATTAAAGATGAATCAGAGAAACAGCTGACTAATATTTTAAAGGTTCATTGCCATTACAGATCCAAATGCCCCTGCATAAAATGAACACGACAAACATCTAGCCAAATTCCCTTCGCTGCTGTCTGAGAATGAAGGGATGCAGCTCACCCGAGGATGCAGCCCTCACCCAGCCCTGAGGACTCATCCTGAGGTTACCTCTCTGCTTCCTAGAGGCCACTAAGCCAGCAGAAGCCAGTAAGCACTTCAACAAAAAAGAGGCCACAAATTGACCCTGCACAATCTCTTTGGTCTGTCAGCACAGCACTACCACAGGTGCACAGCTTGCTGGATTAGGAAACCTGATTCAGGTTACACATAATCTCTCCTGCTTTAACCCTGATGACCTTATAGCTTGTCCCCAAGTACTTCTGCTGTACAAGGACAGGGACAATATGCAGAAAGGAGTATTTATCCATGCAGCTCGAAGTGTTGTGCCCTTCAGCTTTACTACACAGATAAATCCGTTAATTAACAGCCAGCTGCTGGTGAAAACAGCAAATCTTTTCCCCTTTCCTTTCACTTCTCAACTTCAGCCACTCCCTTCCACTTCTTCAGCTGGTCTGACCCAAACCTGAGCCAGTTTAGAGCACTAAAGAGGCAGATAACAATATGCCTCCCTCTGTATAGCTAGTTTTCTACCAGTTTAGCTCACTGCTACAGTGGCCTGATGAGTATCTCTGCTGACAAGGCAGGGGGCAAGGATGTACAGCTGTAAATAGAAGGAGAAGAGCAGAAAACCCTTTCATCAGCAGCCAGTCATTAAATCAGGTACGTGTATTAGCACCACACCCTGAGTGAGGGGTAGACAAAAGGAAACAACCCCATTTTCCTTGCATCAGCCATAAACCTGAGAGAAAACAGTCATCAAATATTTCCTTACCTATTCTCACAGTTATTTGACTTTCTTTAAATCACTGAGTAAGTTCCCACCCCTGTTTGTTCTTTACTGGTGCAAGCAGAAATTTCCATGGAGCCAGGCTATTAACTATCCTCATAACTATCCCCCAGCTATTAAGCCAGCCATGAGTAATGTGTAAGAAACAAACCAAACAACACTTGCATTTCACTTACCAGAAAGAGATTGAGATCAGACAACTCTTTAAAAGAACAGAAACACATTAAAAGGAAAATGTCTTTACAGCATGGAGTCCTATTTAATTCCATTTAAAACAATGAAATGAGAGTAATGTTAACTAATTCATTTTAACTGGGGATAATTACATTTAATTAGTTACGTTAATTCAATTACATAGGAAGAAAGATGTGTTCTGATAGCGCTGGCATGCAGGATAGGACAAGAAATGCTCCAAGAACCCTGTCAGAAATGATAGAATTCACATGATGAGAAAAGGGAGACAAAGGAATTACCACCCCAGACTTGATCTGTGGCCCAGTCCAGTATCTATCACAGATGACACAAGCACATAAAGCTTCAGAAGGTGAAAACAAACCCCAAAATAGACAAAAACGCAAAGATATGTTGGACGATAAATCTGCTCCCACAAACTACAGTGTAATGGTTAGAAACTCTTAAACAAAAAGATGTCTTACATTCTTTATAATCTTCATTAGCAATAACTACTGGATAAGGATAGTTTGTAAGCCAACTAGCTGCTTAATTTACCCTTGAACCCCTTTCTTAATCACTCCAGTGGCTGAGTTCCACTATATAATTATACACAGAAGGTTAACTGGCTTAAGGTGGATAAAGAAACAGTAGATATATTATATCTTGGCTTTAATAAGACTTTTGATGCTGTTGCTAGATAGGAATGCATCTAATACCATCAGCTGGGTGTGAGGTCAGATGAAAATTCACTCCTTAAAAGAGCAATTATCAATATATTACTGTCAAAATAGAAATGTATTTCAAATATGGTCAAAATGATGGCAAAGTAAGCATCAAAGATGATGTAAAGTTCCCAAAAGCTACTTTCCCTTCTCCAGTCTGATGAAACCAACTGAACTGCTTCCCCCTTTGTTCTCAGGGAGTCTGGCAGTCAAAAGGATGGGTCACCACTGGTGACAGTTCACCTCTAGGAAAGTCTACTGACGAACCCATATGGACAATGTTTGAATAGTATTTGTTACATATTTTATTGGCTGAATCAATATGGAAATCCGCGTGTTCGCTATACATGAAAGCTGCCTCATACATATATTTATGTCAAATTTTATTTTTTTTTAATAACAACTTCAAAGGTTCTCTGAAAATTAGCTATGATCCAGTATAAGGCTTCTATTTCCCAAAAAAAACCCGCATTCAAGCCACTGTTGGTTTTGGGGTGCGGTTTTTTTTTGTTTTCTCTCTGCACCACTCAAGTTCCACGGAAGCCATAAATGACCAGGCCTATTCTCAGATTCCTAGCCCCACACAATGTGAGTCTCTGGGCTATTTTCTAGATGGTAACTTTTAGCTGTAGACCCCGCCTAAATGCACCCTGTCAACTGCCGTTCCCCAATGCAGGGGGAGAGAGGGGAGAGGATTCCTGAGGTCTAGCGAGCAGCTCTGCATCAGCTGAAGAATAACACGCAGCTCTGACATTCACCCTCTCTGCCCTGGCTACCAGGCAGACCTTTTTAGGGAATTGTGCCGCTATTACTCAGAGCCTCTAGGAACCGTGACTGCTTAATGCCTTCCGAAGGGTCAGAGCCGGTGAAGGTGCGCGGCTGGGGAAGACGCCGCTAGGACGAGCGGGGAGGGTGGGGACAAAGGAGCCCTGATTTGAGAGGCACTGCTCCTGGTCTCGGGCAAGCCGCGGGCCGAGGTGCGCCCCGGCGGCGGCA